AACTGCTACCCATTTTCTTGATTACGAAAAACAGGCTAGTGCTAGATGCAGTGAATTCCTTTTATTTATTATTTTTACCAAACAATAAACGTTCGAGTTGCCAGATAATAGCATATTAGCTGAAGTTACACACATCTGGCCACATTGAATGCAGTCAGTGTTGCCACTATTATATACTTTAACAGTTTATATTAAACAATTTTATTTATTTATTTTACTATGGCATCCACGTCTTCATATTAAATTCTAACATTTAAAAAATTTTAAAGTTTTAAAAATTAACCATCTGGCAACGATGCACGCCAACTGACCAACCGCGCCAGTGTGGGTGAGTAGCAGCAGTAGCGACCACAATAGCAGCAGCAGCAGAAGCCCATGGCCATTGTGGAGGCTGCTAAAAATACGTGTAATAATCGCTGTTAATCTAATAAGAGTCCACTGGTAAGCGTTTTCGATTGTAGATATATTATTTCATTGCATCCACTGGATGCAGTGAAACGGAATACGTCCATACCTGGATAGAGTGAAATCATCGCCAGCGCTAGCTCACCTTGCCTCTGACGTACATATATAGTTGTCTAACCAGTGTTTAATCATAGCTAATTAGCGACAGCGGCACACAATGCCCGCGTCAGCATCTGTCATTGCCGACTTGTGCATATACCTACTGACTTGGAATGTGGGCACCCACTCGCCAAAGGACCTTTCGCTAACATCCATGTTGGAACTAAATGGCACTACCAGCTGTCCACAGAACAAGCTGCCCGACATTTATGTAATTGGTATGCAGGAGGTGAGCACAAATCAGGTACTGAACATCTTTCAGGATGATCCGTGGGTACTGAAATTGGCTGGCGCGTTAAGCGAATACGAATACGTTAAGGTGGAGTCGAAGCAGCTGCAGGGTATCCTCATTACCATGTTCGCCCAGCACAAGCACATACCGCACATGAAGGACATCGAGACAGATGAGACGCGCACCGGATGGGGCGGAGTATGGGGCAATAAAGGAGCTGTGAGCATACGACTTAGTCTATACGGCACTGGTGCCGTATTTGTTTGTTCCCACTTGGCAGCACACGATGCCAAGCTGAAGGAACGCATAGAGGATTACCACCAGATTGTGGACAATCACAAATACCATGTGAAAGGCTACCCCCGCATCTTTGATCACGACTTTGTATTCTGGCTTGGCGACCTGAACTTCCGCTTGTCGGGCGATATGTCCGCCTGGGATATACGCAACGCTGTGGAGAATGAAAGCTATGATGAGCTGCTGAAGCTAGACCAGTTGACGCTGCTTCGTGAGTCGGGCAACGCGTTCCACTTGCTGGAGGAGCAACTGCCCACATTTGCGCCCACTTTCAAGTTTCACGAAGGCGGCAACGAATACAATCTGAAGCGACGTCCGGCTTGGTGCGACCGCATACTGCATCGCGTGCAGGCGAACAGTTACCCGTCCATTATGCTGAGTGCCCAGCAGTTGTCTTATCAGTCAAAAATGGACTATACGCTCTCCGACCACAAGCCCGTGACCGCGACTTTTAGCTATAAAATCGAAACACACAATTTGTCCTATACGGATGAGGAGCTGCACGAGATGACGCACGGGGCGGGCAGCACAATGTCAAATGTTAGTGTGTTTGGCTTTATCTTAATTATAGTCCTTAACTCTGTATTTCACTTTTGATTTCACTCTTTTCGCTTCTCTTGTAGCCATTTAAAGCCGAGCTAGAAAGTTTCCAGTGATAAATCGAAACAAGTGTTCCCGCCCAAAGGCAGGCAAATGTGCAATCTCATATCTCGCATATCACCCAGATATCAGAGCTCACGTAGAAAACTTTTACAAGAAATACTCCTAACAGAACACAAGTGCAAATCAATTTATTTTTACAGTCACATTTACATCCATATGTATATTATATGATAGAATCTCAGTGTGGCAAATCGCAGGCTAATCTCTCGACTGTGTAACCTCGTGACGCAATTATATACATCGCTCTATACACGCGTATAGTACAATTTTGCTACATATCATACATATATAAATAAATATATATATATAGCGTGTTTAACTAATTGATGAATCTCTGTTATACTAAGCGAAGACATTGTTAAAGTTCTAAAACTGTTGATTCAATAAAGCAATATCTATTTTTCTATAACCAACTTTTGGCGCTTCAATTTTCTGGAATGCATGTGAGTACTATCTCTAAATATATAACAGATATCGGTTACCCAGAGCATTCAAGGCCCGTTGATTTATTGGTATACAGCGCATTAGGTAATGAATTTTAATTATATAAATAATCAGACGTGATATGAGGTCATTTACTTTCGTGCATACAGTCTACTAAATGAGATTATATTATCTTGTACCTATTTCAATGCAGTCCAATCGCGATAAAAAGTCTTAAATATGTGTGCTTAGTGAAAATTGCTGTCCCCTTGATAAATGAATTAAGTAGTTAAGTTAAGATAGATAGATTGTATATAATGACATATAATCAGAACTAAAGATTTAAAAAAGTTTTAAGCTTTCCAAAAGGCTTACAATTTTTAGGAATTTTCGTTATGTAAGGAAAAAAAAGAGAAAATTCATTCCATATCACATTATAAAATGTTAGTTATAAGAAACCTCAAAATTTATTATATAGTATATAAACTTTCACAAGATATACTCCGAAATTTTTTGTATTACTGATTGACTTTTTTTTTTTTAATATTTAAAGCCCCATGAGGAAGACGTACAAAGCAGTTTTACAATAAACAGCAGCTCTTAAATAAAATCCCTGTTTACTTAAATTGAGTTTAAATCTCGTTTTATGAATTTTTGGTTTATCTCAAAAGCGGTAAAATTTTATTCATTTGAAATCATCAAGATTCGACTGTATATTATGTAGCCTTTCTGGATAATTTATTTCAATATATGTTTGTGTAAGATCTAATTAGTAGATATAGAACAGTTATTAAATTCATACTATTATTAAAGAGTACATTTTATTTTATTACTAGTCATTTAGAGTCATATACTGATCTAGTAATTGTAAATTGAATTTTTGTAAGCAACGGTAAATATTGTGAGCCATAATTCATTTATGGTCGATCCGTAATTCCCACCTACCTTATCGCTTATCTATGCAACAAGTGTTTTTGGGTAGCATTTTAGCGTATATCAGTATATCAGTATATACATATATCAATAATGACTGTCGTCTGCCGAACGAAACGAGCACACACAAAAGGCAATATATGATAGAAGGCTGACGAAACCAGTTGGTTTTTGGTGATTTTGATGTTTTAATTTTTCATTTTTTTGCTTGATCGCTTACGAATGCTCGAACAAAACGATGGTGTCCAATTGCTGTACGCCTGTTAGCGTTATTCTCACAGCAGATACCGGCAGAAGCTTAATGGCTTTGCTGGTGTGCCCGGCCTCGGCAACTGCTGTGCTGTGGGGGTTTTTCGTTCTTTTAATTTGCTGATTGTATTAGATAGTTAGTCGTTGTTGTAGTACTTTGGAGTATCGAGGACTTGGTGTATCTATCTGATTTGTACACACACGTGTCGCAGCCCCGCAGATTCAACTATGGCTAATAATTGTTTTGAAATAGATGAACAGTCATAAATAGATGAACAAGTACATAAATCATTTAACAATATAACCGTAAAGATAATGAACTGTCAACAGTTAAAAGTGTAACTTTTGCTGAATTTAAAACGGGCCCCACCAGAAGCACACGCCCTCCAATCGTATCAATCGGACCTAACAGAGCTCATAGTGTACACAAATCAGCGGGAATCCATGAAGATGGTATTGTTCGAGCGACCGGTGATTTACCCTCAGAGAAAACAAACACACCGAAAATCAATTTACATAAAACTTTGTTTATCTAATATCTTATACAAAGCCAATATTTGGGCTAGCCAAAGAGAGCGCAGAGCCTTGAGAGCATACCCCATACCGAACTGAGGGTCGCGAGCCGAAACTGAAAGCTCTTCTCCACACAGGAAAACTACGTGAGTGGTATGTCCGCAGTGTGTTTATTCGACGTGCAAATAATGTTGTTTGTAAACAAACTTGATTCGATTAGAAAATAATTACCAGCTGTTTGTGAAAATCACGTCTGGCGACTGCTGCTGATAGGCAATCAGATGGCTGAATGCCAAGACTCTCTCCCCAGAACAAAAGAACTTTCCTAATGCCAATTAAACGAACTATTTGAGTGCACAGATATAGTATATTCTGATAATTCAAATCGCACTGATACAATTTATGAGCAATTCATACCAACACAGATAAGCAAATCTATAAGAAAAACCCATACATACATGTGTATGTATGTATATGTATTGATTACTATTTGAAGAATGATTGTAAATGGGTATTTTACTTTCTTTGATATTGATATTCATCTAACGGCATTATTCACGGCCTTTTCTTATCAACGTTCTGCCGACAAACACGATTGCGAACTAGAAGCGACACCTGAATTAGCTACCATCACCTGGCTATCGCTCGCCGAAAATAAAAAGCCCCGCGCCGATCGCAGCCGAACGTTTCGGCTGGTATAAAAGCCGACCCTCGGGGCCGGATATCGCTCAAAGCACAGCCAACGATCGGCCAAGCAACAAGCATACCAGAGCGTTAGCAAGACACGCATACACATGTGCATACATACATACATAATATATTAGCAAAAAGCACCGCGATTGATGAGGCACGCGCTTAAGGGAGTCCCCTAAAAGAGTCGATACAAGCTCACACGTCATTCGTTAAGACATTTGACTACGGAAACAACAACAACAGCATACCAATTGGATATTTGTACACACTCAAAAAACATAGATGAAGCAACCAGTCATAAAATCAATGAACTGTGAAACGGTCTCCACGGCACAGTGACTAAATCGTAGCACAAATTTGGCGATCGGTGAATTATTTATTTTCGCCTGGTGATTAACAGTGGAAAGATACTGATTTGCACACACACAGAGAGTAATCATGGGCGTGAGAGTAATTGAAGCAGATTCGGCGAGCGATTCATATGATGATGAGGAGTGTCCCACATGCAACACGAACCACAAGAGCAAATCGAGCAACGCCAAGCGCAGCGCAACGGAGCCCACGAATATCCATTTGGGCAGCAAGGATCTGGTTGGCAATTGCAAGGAGTACCGCATTGAGAACAACAGCCGCGATCTGCGCATCATTGGCAACGGGAATCGCGTGCGCATCGCCAACAACTCGGGCAGTCTTCACATCATTGGCAACGCGACCAGGCTGAAGATCCAGCACAATGCTGGCTACATCAAGTACACGGGCAACGATGGGCGCATCTACCTGGGCAGCGACTCCCAGCAGCAGACGGTCGACTACATTGGCTGCAATGGGCTGCTCAAGGTGGTCAACTCACTGCAGCTGCACGGCAGCAGCAGCAGCAGCAGCAAGTCCAACAGCAAGCGCACTCCCCGCTCCCAGCCAAAGGTGGCTAAGGATGCGCCGCCGCAGCCAAACAAGGCACCAACTGCCCCGCGCCTGGGCGTCGAGATTGACAACAATCTGACCATAGTCAATGGCATCGCCGGCAACATTGTGATTAAGAATGCGATAAATGTGAGCATTTAGGCCAGGCCCACTTATCTATCTCAAGTCCAAAGTTTAAGCTTAGCAACTTGCCAGCTAGATATAGGCACGATGGCCAGCACGCATGGTTCCTATTGTTATATATAAGCTATCTGACTGCTTAATGTGATTTTGTCATCGGGCATTCAAAGTATTACACGTCACATAATAAGTGTGCGTATCTTCACAATACATTCATCATATATGTGTAACTAGCCTATTTAATATTACATATTTATAAAGTAACAGATGTTGATCATTCTATGAATGATCTCCTTATATTAAAATATTACATCATTCTAAAAAATATTGATTTCCGATTTCCGAAAGCCCCGTTCATTCGTGTGAATTACCACACGGTGCTTTCGGCGTACTTATGCATGTATCAAGAGATGGTATTCACAGTGACCCGAGTGGATTTTCTCTCCAGTTTCCTAGAATCGAGGTCTTACTCATATCATGGCCTGACCAATGTCAACCTGTTGTTGGTCACAATGACTTGACCCACTTTGTTGTCAACGACAATGATAACAAAAATACCCCGGATAAGAAACCAACTTGCGATTGATGTGCTGCGTACTGATTAAACAAGGGATATCACTAAACATTATACCAGTTTTTGACTGTTTTTTTTTTTTTTTTTTTTTTTTTTTTTTTTTTTGGTAATTGTACTTACGTTTATATTTTGTCGAAAGTGTCGAAAAAAGCTCGAGTGTCGCATTAAAATTCTGGGGGATTTTTATTTCCAATGCGTACGCACATAAAGCAACTAAATTAATTACAGCAACAAGGTCATTGTTTTCAAAATCCATTGACCGATAAGAATATTAAATATGTATTTTGTACCTTGAACAGGAAACAGAAAACTTATGAAAATTTTAGGCAAGTTGATTCTACAAGCGCTCAGGGATTTTTAAAGTTCAATGTAGATAAGGCAATTTTTTTTATCAAAAATCAAAGAAAGCACAATTGGCATACACGGAAATATATGTACATACATACATATGTATGTATGTATGTATAAAAGACTTAGTTTGCAAACTCGTATATATGTAAATACAATGTGCTAATGAATGCCTAAGTAAATTTACATATGAATTCGCTCAACGACACACATGTACACACATTCATATATACATATATATATATATAAGACAGATATATAGACGTCGCAGCTGGTATATATAGCATTATAGCCACATACTGGATTAATATGTATTTTATTACAATATAAGATAAATTCTCCAACTGTCCCTTAAATGCATCAGGAGATATTATACCGATTTGATATAATATGATCCCAAGACAAGCATTTCAATTACTCCATAACATCATACAGGAGTTTATTATTATGCAATGTGCATAGATATTACACTTTATTCACTTCAAATAAAATTGCCGACAAATGATCATTAATTATTTTTGTTTACAATAATTAATACGAGCTGAATATCTCATTGTTGTGCTGAAACAAAAACTATCGTTACTAGCTATGTTATGTTATGTTACTAGCGTTAACATAACAGACCTCCCCGATATTCGTGCGATACGCGCTCTTTTTTGCGTTTGCGTACGTAGTACGTTAGTGTGTCATGTTATTCTTACGTTCGGCAAGTACGTTTGACGCTTCGCTCGCTAAATTACAAACATTTTGCGACATTTAAAAAATAAAATCATGTTTGGGACCGCACAGACGACAACGAATCGTATGAACGACTTCGAGGTAGCATCGCCACCAGACGATTCTGTTACAGCACTCGAGTTCAGCCCAAGCACATTGCAAGTGCCAAAGAATTTTCTCATTGCCGGCAGTTGGGACAACAGCGTGCGCTGTTGGGAGGTGGAACAAAATGGAGCAACTGTGCCAAAATCTATGAAAACGATGGGAGGGCCAGTGCTGGATGTATGCTGGTCAGACGACGGCACTAAAGTGTTCATGGCGTCATGTGACAAGCAAGTAAAACTCTGGGATCTCGCCTCCGATCAGGTAATGCAAGTAGCTGCCCACGACGGACCGGTCAAAACCTGCCACATGGTCAAAGGTCCCAATTACACATGTCTCATGACCGGCAGCTGGGACAAAACGCTCAAGGTATGCAGCTTATAAAATTATAGCCCTAACAAATTGTATATAAATGGTGGATTTTTAGTTCTGGGACACGCGCACACCCAATCCCATGATGGCCATAAATCTGCCTGAGCGATGCTATTGCGCCGATGTAGACTTCCCTATGGCTGTGGTGGGTACTGCGGGTCGTGGTCTAATCATTTATTCATTGGAGAACAGTCCCACCGAGTACAAGCGTCAGGAGAGTCCGCTCAAGTATCAGCATCGTACCATATCTATATTCAAGGACAAAAAGAAGGCGCCCACGGGCTATGCATTAGGCAGCATCGAAGGTCGCGTCGCCATACAGTATGTGAACCCAGTGAATCCAAAGGATAACTTTACATTCAAGTGCCATCGCTCGACGGGCACCTCCGGATTCCAGGACATTTATGCGGTTAATGATATTGCATTCCATCCAGTGCACGGAACTCTGGTTACCGTTGGATCGGACGGCACATTTAGCTTCTGGGACAAAGATGCACGCACCAAGCTCAAATCTAGCGAGGCGATGGATCAATCTATAACGAAATGCGGCTTCAATGCCAACGGCCAAATATTTGCATATGCTGTCGGCTATGACTGGTCCAAGGGACACGAGTACTTCAACCCCGCCAAGAAGCCACAGATATTCCTACGCTCCTGCTACGACGAGCTGAAACCGCGCGCTAATTGATCAGAAATCCAATTCGGAATCGATTTTAGTTTAAGCCACACAAACATGTTCTGCGAGTAATATCCAAACTTCAGTTGTTTTGTATCATTAAATATCAAAGCGTATCCTGATTTGCATATTTATTCAACTAAATCACTTAATTAAAGAGCTTGCTCTAATGATCTTTCTTGTCGTCGTGGCCATGTCCATGTCCGTGGTCACCCTGGCCCTTGCCGATTCCGAGAGCATATTCAATAGCGATGGTGGCGACAGCTGCACAAAAGCCGACTCCGAGGCCGCGGAACATAAACGTAGCCAGGCGAGAGCGGTGTGTGCCGAATGCCTTCTGTTCGTAACGCCAGGCCTCATTCCTATGGCAGTTAAAGTAGCTTCGAAACTAAATTTTTTTTATATTCAAGAGCTCACCTCAGCCATGGGTCGGATAAGCCCTGGCGGCCAAGCGCTTCTTTGACTTTCAGCAATTGCGGCACATTCTCCACCTTATAGCATGATGGATGTGGCACCGTGTAGGGCTCTCCGTGTCCATGTCCACCCATTATTTATTTTCTGAAATTATAATCAAGTATTTAGTTTTGGTAATGCCAAGTGAACTAACATCTGTTAACCTAGCGCTGAACATTACATAAGTAGGTTCACAGTTTTGTCGCTTTTTAACTGTTGGGACAGAGCATACACATTAAGAAATACTAAAATATCCTTAGTCAATCTATATTATTTCAAAATATCACATAAATAATAGGTAAAATTCAACTTATTAATAAAAATGGTGAAATACACACTTTTGTTGTCACAATATGAACACAAGGTTAACAGACTGTAAAATGTTATCGATAATGTTAATGTGAAATGTCCTAAATATTGCCAAGTACGTAGTAGCTTGTTTACTTTTGGCTTTTGAAAGTGTGGCAACTGCTTGATTTCTATAAACGAATTTAAATAATTTTTTTTCCCGCAAAACGGCATAAACTTTGTCATGAAAGAGAAACAGCAGTAGATATTTTTATTTTTTGACGTATTTATTCATATTTTAAGTTTATTTGCAATCAGTAGAACATCTGTAAATTTTAAACGTGCTTAAGTGAAAATATACATAGTTTATTTATGTTTTTTTTTTTTAAATTTTTTTTTTCCATTTAATTCTCTAGTTATACAATAAGTAATAGTAATATACATGTATATGCGTTTTTTGTTTATTTAAGATTTATGTTTATAGCGTTTCACTTGCTCCTCTCACTTTTACAGGTTAACTGCGATTGCTACAATTAGAAGGGGAACCTTTGTAAAGCAAAGATGAAAAATATAACAAAATACTGTTCTTACGCTTTGTCATTTGCATTGTATGTATGTATTGTAATAGCAGGTATAAAAATGCACGTTATGCATGCCAATTGTTTAATTTAAAATACAATACATATATATTTTATATAGTTGTTTGCTTTTATACTCATTTCTCACAAACTTAAAACATCAAAGTCAGAACGCAGTTTCCTTTGTTCTTCTTTCTCATTCAGCGCTAGGAAATGCAGAAGGCATGAACAATCTATCAATATTTAAGTAAATTTATCTTTAAACTTGTAACTACTTTTGGAAGATACATTTTCAAATAAATTGTAGATATTAAGTTTCACACACTCAACAGATCCTAAATAATATATGAACAATTGTCAGCTTCGTACGTTTTGCCTTGCACTTAACGTATGTTTTGTTTTTGCTTAAAAATGTTGGCATTTCCTTTTCACTGTTAATTTTTGTTTGTTTTTTGTTTTTTTGTGTTGTTGGTTTTTTTTTTTCTTGTTAGCTGAATCACATTTCGAATTACTAAAGATTAGTTTCATAATTTAACACATGTTGCTACAACAATTTAGGTAATTTTTTGAAATCAAATTGTACTTTTTTTTTTTAAATTTAAATTTTATTTTTAACTTATTCTCCGTCCCCGCACGCTAGCTGTGAGTGGGCTCCGCTGGAAGCTCCAATTGGGGTAACTACTGCAGGCAGATTAGATACTTTCCTCGGCCAATATCTCGTTGAGCAGGCGATTGAGGCTGTCCAGGCCAGTGAGAAAGCCGCCGTCGGGTCCATGGTGGACGGGCGCGGTGGCTGGCGGCGTGGGCAACATGCTCCCGTTGCGCGGAACAAAGGCCGTGTGGGCGAAGTCAATGAGACGCACGTCCACGAAGCAGGCCGAGTCATCTGTGGGCGGTGCGGACATGTCCAGCGACTTGGAGCCATGCATTAGCGCCGAGTTGCGAACCGCAGTTGTCGATGACTTTGGCTCGCTCTTGGTGTTGTTGTTTTCGCCCTCGGCACTGGCCCGTCGCTCCAGGGAGTCGAGCAGAATGCCAGCGAGCAGCGAGTTGGATATGTTTTCGCAACTGCGCTGCATTGCCGACCCCGTGTGAGACTTCGATGGCGAGGAGACGGCCGAAACGGGAGTGGATGTTATTGTCGACTTCTTGGCCTCGCGGGAGTCGTCGTGAGCTGCGTAGTGTTCATCGTCGTCCTTGCAGCGCAAACGCTTCACAGCACCCTTCACTGATTTCAGTGACGATGCGCTGGAGGAGGCGGGCGAGACAACCGACTTGATGGTGGCACTTGAATTGCCAGCCGTGTGGGGCGGCGAGGTGAGATCCACGCTGCCGGCTGTTGCTGCTGCCGCTGCATCGAACGATTGCTGTGACTTGTACCGCTTGAACATGGCCTCCGTGGGTCCAATAATGCTGCTGTCGTAATCTGAGCTGCCGTCATCGGAGCTGTTGTTGCCTGTCAAATGGGAGCAAAGCACGAATGGATTAGCATTTCTTTCTGGGCTTATGGTTTCTACTCGTACACTTACATGTCTGTCGCCCGCTTGCCACGGCCTTGATCTGCTCGGATAGGCCGGAGAAATCGTCGCTGCTGTTGCTGCTGTAATTCATCCAGGAGTCTCCGGAATGTGGCGATGAGGTGGTCACGCTGGGCAGCGTTGGCTCAGGGTCCAGGAATACTGTCTCTTCGGATATTGGAATGAATGCAGGTGTGGTGCTGGCATTGGCATTGCTGCCCTTGCCACCAGCCACCGATTTAGTGGGCAGGACACCGCAGCTACGTGGCGGCGGCATGACGGACAAATGCGAGTGCGAGTGCGAGTGCTGTGCCTTGTTTCTCTCGTCGTCTTCCTCCTCCTCCTCGTCGGTGGTGGTCGAGGAGCTGGTGGCCGTTTGCTTGACGCCACGTGCCGCCGCCTCCGCGAAGCCGCGCTTGTGTAAATGACGACGTGTGGCCAGATTCAAGCGCGAGTTTGAATCATTTGATGCATCCGCATCATAGTTGCAGCCGTCGGCTCCGGTGCTGCTGTTGGTGGCCGAGGCGTTGCCGCTATCAACGGCCGCCACCAATTGCAAGTCTTCATCCGTATCGTGCGGTTCCAGTTCGTCGCCCGCCTCATTTCCCGCCTCATCGTCTTCAATATCATCCTCGTCTATGCTGTTCTCCGGGTGATAATCGAAGGCAGCTGTCGGCTGCAGTGTCGCTGACTTTGGCGCCTCCAGCCAATCATCCATATCCATTGAGGGCGGATGTGCCATAGGATTCTCTTCATAGCCTTCGTACACGATGAGCAATGAGCTGTCAGAGGAAAGAGCAGACTCTTAGTATACTTCTCGATTGGAAATGACCCACTTTCTTCAACTTACCAGGAATAGAATCTGTAACTGGACTGCTTCTCGATGACGCGTCGCAGCTGCATCAGCCGCTGCAGGATCTTGCGGATGACGCGAATGCGCAGCCGATAGCCGTTGTAGAAGAAGTCATGCAAGGCGGTCTTGAAGCCCGCCTCGTTGAGCTCGCGTCCCCAGTACTTGTCGCGCTTGGCATACTGCTCCAAGTCCGCCTGGTAGGTCTGCATGCCGCAGAGGCGGACGCCCAGGGAGCCAGAGGTGCTGGCCGCGCACTTGGCCATCTGTTTGGATCGCTTCTCTGCGGACGCATCGTCGCCGTGCTGCCGCGTTCCCATCTTCAGGTCCAGAATACAGGGGTTGCGGAACTGCGATGTGATATTCTCGAGCATCAAGAAATCTGTGAAGCGAAATTTGCACAGATACAGAGATTAGTTAAGAAGCCTCCAGAGATGTAGAATTGTATAAACATTATTAAATGGGGTTTTCTGTCCAAGTCCCGGTCCCGAGCCATGGCACAGGATACTAACATTGCTTATTGGAGTTGTCAAGTTGCGAAATGCTCTTAATAACATCGGCCGCATTTCCGTTCTTATGCACCTTCATTCTGCAAATAATCCAGGCGAGATGTGTGGGATTAATATGGAATCAAGCGAGACAAAAGTACAATGCTGCGAACCCCTTATAGATGGCACAAATGAGTGACCTAAAACAAAATAAGCTGGAAGTTTTCGTTTCGTTTTTCTTTTTCTTTTCATTTTTTGCTTTTTTCGTTTCTTGTTCTTTTCGTTTGTTACAGGACATGTTCCGTTCCATTGAAAACGCAGCGGCGCCATCTGGCGGCGAGTAGGCGATGCAGAAAAAGATGTTGAATACGAAAAGTTCTGCAATAAGTTGTATAACCGTTAGCCGTTTTCAATGGAACCGATCATGGCACAGTTTCCATTTGGATTGGCCATAAAAAAAAAAAAAATATCTCATACACATAGAATGTTGTAATATTTGCATACCCAATACCCGTAACAATGTCTGACAGGGGCGAGTGCGTGTTTGTTTTTTGTATGCATTGCACAATCTAAAACAAAAATAAAATTCATTTCCATTTGCTTGGCTGAATGCTTCAGTCATGTGAGATTTATATACGTATATATAAATATATATAGTATATATATAAGGTAGTGTAAGTGTGTGTGTTTGTGTGTGGGTGTTTGTGTGTGTGTGTGTGGCAACGTGCAGGCTGTCTGACTGTCTATGTCTATGATGGACAAGACTTCTTAATGCTTCTACATACCTGAGTACTTCATCCCGCTTGCGCTTCGAGGCACTCATCTTGCGCACTGGCACCGCGGCCGCATCGTCCCGGAAGCTGGGCGAATAGCGCTTGTCCAGCTTAGCGCCGCCCATGGTGGTTGCTTGCATAACGCCTGGAAATAGAACGGGACCGGCGTGCGATCAGTTTTTGTGTCTCTTCTCGTTTCAGTTAATTTCATGTTTGTTCATTAGCTCTATTTATGTAGTGTGTATGTCAGTTCTTGAGTTAAGTTGGTTAGAATTACGCATATGGATGAATGGGCCTGACTTATCAAAGATGGTTTAGTAGACACATCAGATGGATGGATACATCGTGAATGAAACAGACGAACATGACGATCCCCAATTAATAATAAAATTACTAGAAATACTTAAATTGACTCTTCTCTTTCTCTCTATATATAACATACATATGTAAATACAGACCCGACATAGACTGTGTGCTTTGGACGATTTCGGAGGGACGGAAAGCGGCATGATTTACATATAGAAGGAATTATGGCTTATGACCTAAGCTAAGTTCAGAAACAGAGTGCAATATCAAACTTAGGCAATCGAACGAGAAACATTGTGCATAAATCCGAAAGAGTTTTCATAAATATGTTTGGTTTTCTTTTCTTTTCTTTTCTGTTCTTTTGATTGCTTTGGTGTTTGTTTATTGTGTTCTAGCTTAAGCCTTAGGAATATTTAAATATCTACATATATTTGTACTTAAGGAACTGAATAGCTTAAGATTTAGTTTGGAAAATTAAGTATCGCATTAAATATATATAGTATATAGTAAAATATATATATATATATGTATATAGAGTATGTGCTTTATTCATACAAACCCGTTGAGGCCATATTGCCATTGCTTGCATTTCTAATCGGCTTTCGTACTGTGAGAGTCTCGGAGACGTTCAGTTCCAGAGACAGACAAAGCAGAGCAGAGCGGAGTGCTGAGTGCTGCTGAGAGTAGAGAGCAGAGCAGAGCGGATTAGGATCCGATCCGATTCGATTCGATTAGATCGGCAAAGGCCTAGGGACGAAGGCGACGACAATCACACATGACTTTAGCTCAACAACAACAACGTGTACTCGTTCGGTTATTCGTATTCGTATTCGTATTCATATTCGTGTTCGATTTCGTATTCGTATTCGCATTCGATTGCGTATAGAGGGTCAGTCAGCACGATGTCTGTTCTGAACAAACACATAAAATAAAACACGACATTTGTTTTGGATTTTTTTTTTTTTTTTGTTTTGCTTTGATATTGGAAATAAATTATATTTGTTGGTTGTTTATAGATTTTTTACAGTTTACGCTTTCATTCCGGAGGCAGCTCTCCGATTGGGCTCATTGATTGGTTCAGCGGCAGATCACGAGCACGAGGTCTCTCAGTGGGCACTTCGAACCTTTGGATAATACGAGCATAGAGCGTAGATATGTACATATATGTGTAAAGCCCCCAAGCTACAGGCTGTACGGGCGTGGATTAAAATTGTATTTTTTGTTTTGTTATATTTCTGGGAAGTTGCATAATTTTTGTCAAACAAAAATTGTACAATCCTCTGAGTTGGGTGCATATGGTCAAAGGTATTGGTTTATTTGTGTTTCATTGGCTTGTTCATAGTAGGTGCATATATGCATATATAGTTGCATATATATGTATATATACGTTGCTGGAGAAGAGTTGGTTTTACTTTGTTTACTTTTACGACTTACCCATTGCTGTCACTGCGCTACTAACTAAAAGTTCTTATGTGATAAAATGCAAGTGTGTGCGTGGAGCTTTAGTGGCCAGGCGCTTGGACTACTTCCAGGCGTCGAGTCAGACAATAAGTGGGCATGGCGGCTATAATAATTTTATTTCGCTTTTCGTATTACAAAACTTTAAAAGCTATAATTTACCTATTAGATTACGATATGGTTCAGTCTTATTTAATTTTATTTTTTCGTCATTTTCTTTTTTTTTCTCTTTATTTTTTTTTCGGTCTGTTTTTATTTGTCAATTTTCCATAAAAATGCTTACAAACTACGGATATCACATATAAGAATATAATACTTAAAATAAAAATGATATTGAAATGCGTTTTGGCTTTAACTATGGACAATACAGAAGAGCGCATAAATTGTTGATATATTTATCGGTTTCGTCTTTTGAATATTAATTTTTATTATATCTTATTTTCTTGACAAATGCGAGTTAGTACAAAAGAAAAGTTGAATACAGCATCGAAGATTTGGAAAATGAAGACAGATGTAATATCATATAATTGTTTTCTTTTTTTTTTTTAATCAATCTTTTTTATTTGTATTTCTGTTTTCTTTATTTTCTTTTTCAATGCATGATGGAACGAGCAGTTAATTCATAACGAAATATATTTATATGTATGTGACACTTTTATGAAGCGCTTCGATAGAATCGATAGTCGATAGTCGCTAATCGGTGTGGTTGGTTAATAAGAGAATATAGTCGGTATCTTACCTTTGTACTTGGGCACAAACTTCTGTACGTCCTGCGGAATGTTCTGATAGAAGTCCAATTCACGCAAATTCAGCGGCTTGATCACCGTTGACTGGTTGAGCAGCAAAAGGCGCGTGTGTCCTCCCACCTGAAAGTACAATGGATGAATTGATTAATTGATAGTCCAGCGAGAATATGAAACTTATCGATAGCTGCAAATATTCTGATCATTATCATTGAGCATTAATATTAAGCGCTTGTGTTTTCACGGTATCTGGGTATGGGAATGTTTACTGAGATCTTAAGAGCAGTTAGTCGTGGGGTCATTCATGTAGTATCTAATCAGAGCCTACGTCATGCGACGCCTTGATAAGCAGCTGTTGCTTTGTATGCCAGTGTAATCAATCCTCGATTCTAGTCTTTAATCTTTACGAGCTTTTACTTGTCAGGCAACGCTCAGAAAAACATTCAGCATATCGGATCGGATATATGGCCTGGGTCTCATGATGGGTCTTTGTAAACAATAATAGACATGTATAAATCTCATTTAAAACGAGCGAGCAGGAGAGAAAGAGAGAGAGAGAAATTGACCTGGTTATGGATGAGTCGTAAAAGTTGAAAGAAAGGAAAAAGATACTAGATCTCTTGAATATGAAAGTGGGCGAGTTGACAGAACTCAAAACTCGTTTGAAAGATTTGACAATATAATTGAACAAGATGACATAAATTTAAAAGTAACGTAAATAATATATTGGCAATATTATTTCATTCAATGCTTGCACAAATGGCAATTGACTAAGTGTGTTATACAGTATCAGGGCTCCCAGGAATTGGGTTGAGTGTCAGGTGTTATCTATGCGATGCAATCGATTTACTACAATTTAAAGAATGGACTGCAAGATCTCAGGCCACAAAAGCAAATCGTCACTAGACAATCTGCTGCTATTAGAACTGATGTTAAACGAAATTCAAAGGGTGATAATGTACCAAGTTCTCATCTGCCAAAGTTAGCCACACTTTACAACAAGCGACCTTCTGATAACAACAAGAAACTTTTAATCTGGAGCACCGCAGATAAGAATCGAGAGATCAGAAAATCGAAGAATATAAGAGCCGCATCCACTGTCGTCCCTCGAGGCAAATCGGTAATTATACAATCGCATGACAGAAAAAGTAAGTCCAGAGTATCTCACGTTAAGCCGACTAAGACTCGAGCGGAGCCAAAGATGAAGGCACCCGATCTGACCAGTGGTACAATTAAAACCTGTGATTCAGACCACGAAGGCCGACTTATCATGAAGGAGAATTTTCGCTTGCACGTGGATAAGATGTTCAATTTGCTATTTTCGAGCACATCGACTTTCTTCTCAGAGTTCCATAATAAGCGAAACACCACGGATCTTTGTATTGGTCCCTGGAAGAACGGCAAGGCTGGCGAGCAGGTGCGCACTGTCAATTTAACCGTTGCCCTCCAAGCAAACGTCGGCCCCAAGACCTCCAAGGTCAGCGAGTACCAAACACTGCGAGCTTGCAGCACGCCCGGACAGCTCTACTCCATAGACGTGGTTAGCGTTAACGAGGGCATACCGTATGCCGATGTCTTCAACATAGCCACGCACTACTGCCTAGCGCGTTCGGAGAACAATAGCACTGATATGCTCGTCTTTGGCAATGTCAATTTCATCAAGTCGACCTGGGCGGTGGTCAAGGCGTTCATTGTGAAGCATTCTTACGAGGGCCTCTCCGAATACTTTCAGTGCCTGCGTGACGAGCTACAGCAAGAAGTGTCCAAAAAGGAGCACAAATGATTCGACTATCGAATACGATCGAAGCTAGACGGGTCTTGCTCACCCTGGACATTAGCTGAATCCACATTCTTGATAGATACGATGTCTCTGACATTGTGTTAGCTCAATCTGATTTCAGGGGGCTCTTTGCTCGTGATCCAATTAAATAAGCCCATCTTGTTATTTATGTTTATGTTATTTATGTTATGTTATGTACTGATAGCCAGTATAAGGTTCGGCCTCCTTAATTCAGTGTATGCAACGTATATATCTATGTATATATACAATTTTCGTTTCAAAAAGTATCGCAACATTTGTTTTTCTTTCATTTCAAAGTAATCCCCATAAGATATTGCACCCATATGCCAATCATTCTTATTTAGCTTCTTCCCCGATGGAACAGATCTGGGTTACACGGCACGTGTTAGCCGTCAGCAATTAATCAAATCATTGTATTATTATGCTATTAACAGCCGCTTCCGCTGTTAATAACATAAGTCCCAATCCTAGCTGTAAACTTTGAGTTTATTCTAAGTTTATGGTTTGACTTTTGATTAGAAATTACCTGATTGGAAAGCGGATGAAGCGCGACCTCATCCTCGTTATCCAGGAGATCCTTACTGAGCTGTGTTGTCTTGGCCTTGCTGCCGCAACTATCGGCCGTCGATTGAGAGTTGTTTGACTCGGAGCATTGCCGCAACCAAGACGAATGGACTTTGTGAGCGGGTGGATGAGAGTCGGTCTGTGGCTGCTGCTGTGTTTTGGTGGGCGTGTTGCAGGCGCTATTGTTGTTGCCGCCGTTGCTCACCGATAGTTGCTGTAGATTGGCTGTTACCAGGCTGCTGCTGCTGTTGCTGTTGCTGTTGCCACTGTTGCTGCTCCTTGGGCCAGCCACATGCTGTTGCTGTAGGAAGCTGGATCCGCTGGCGAATTGCAGCTGCGATTGCAGTAGGCTTAGGCTATTTGAGATTTGTGCAACCAGCTGATGTTGCTGTTGTTGTTGCTGCTGCTGCTGCTGCTGCTGTTGCTGCTGCTGATGATGATGTTGTTGTTGTTGTTGTTGTTGTTGTTGCTGCTGCTGCTGATGATGTCCATGGATGCGCTGCTGCTGCTGTTGTTGTATATTTGGAACATGCTGCTGATATGACGACAAGTCAGAATCTCCCATGCCCCAATCCCCCAAGAAATATACCATTCCCTGCCGCGCGAAACAGTTTAACGAGTTACAGTTGCAGTTGCTCTTCTTCTTGCTGTTCTAATTTTCCAAGTTGTTGTTGTCGTTGCTGTATCTGTAACGAGAAAACAGAATTGCATTACAATTGGGTTAAGCAAGCGTCAAACGATCGATCAACTGGCGACCCCCTCCCGGAACCGGTTCCCAAAGCACGCAGCACACATTCACTTTGCACGCGAATCTCATAGAGCTCATGCACTTGTGCATTCCATTCGGATGTCGGATGTCGGATGTCGGATGTCGACAGGCCGGGTTCAATGTCATTTCCTCAACGGAACGAGACATGCAAACTGCATGAGTCTCTCTCTGTTCCGGCTAACAATTATTACATCACTCGATGATAGTGCAAAGCTTTTAATCAGCGCTCTTCAAGACATGGATGATCTACATAGGCTGTCTATAGTGCGGATTCCTCATTATAGCATGACTAACGTACAGAGAGACGCAATGGGACCTTGCAGCACACAGTATTTACTGCAATACAAATATGACGATAATCTAGACTCTATGTACCCTATAGTAGTAAGATTTTCTAGCTAAGATAGCTCTGCCGCATTCTGTGCACTTAATAATGTATAAAATAGAAAAAAACAAGAGATCCGTATCTTTATTATATGATTTAGTGCAGCAGCGAAAAAGTTAAGCCTATAATGTTGTAGACCCTCTTTAAGGGTTATAAACAATCTTTCAGTTAATGTCGCAGTAGTTAGCCCGATCCTAGCCACTATTCGCCAAATATGTGTGCTCAGCTGATCCCTCTTTAACAGATAAGTCATTGATGCATGATGATGATGATCCGATGATCTACACGGCTCACATCACACATTCTACGCTGGGCAAAAAACGAATAGAGCAAATTAATGAAGCGTGTGGTTAATTGATTTCAGTTGAATTGAGAAAAGCCAGACGTGAATCGCGAATAGCGAATTCTTATTGCTTTTGTGGGGTCGATCCGGCGTGTGCCGAAGATCGGTCATTGATACTGAGGTGGCTGGGGCTAGCTGGGGCCATGCTACAGTTATCAATTGGGCAAATGTTAATTAAGTTATCGTTCGGCCAACTGCAAACAACTTGCGAAACTCGGCAGCATCTGCCAATTGCACACACCCCAAGGCGGAAAGCGGCTCTGTCCGGGCAATGCAAATACACGGAGTGTACGGCATTAGCACATGGAACTGCAGACGTCATAAAATAGAATAGCGAGCACACAGAGTGCTAATGCACATTTGCTACTGTAACATCTCTATTTGCTTATCTGTCTGGGTGCATCTGTATCTGTACCTGGTGTTTGTATCATTCATTAGCTAGCAAATATGTGCACATGCCTAATTGCGTTAGGCGGCAGCTACAGGCCAGACGGCGCGACTGTAAAGCTGTTTTATCGCCTTGTGGCCGCCAACTATTATAGACTTTACTTGAGATCCATATACAATTACAATATATACATAGATAGCCTCACTCTATTGTAGATCGTGCCTTAGACATTGGTTTTGCTTAGAGGGGAATCACCTACTACATATGTATGTATATGCATATATAATATATATAACTGTACAATGATAAACGACTTCTGTATGTCCGTAATCGTCGTGTCATTAACATGAAACAGTCAACGATCGGTCATTGCTCGTATCTCGTATCTGGCGGCTGATCCAAAAAGTTAATATTGTTATTGTTGTGAATGTTATTTGTTCGACTCAATGCGACGGACGCATCGTTCACTTATCTTCTTGACTGCTCAAATCCATATGCTACTGCACGTCTTTTTTTGGCAACTTATTTTTAAAAACTTGGCTATTATTAACAGCGTTGCGAATACGTCAACTCAAGGGGTTGGCAAAAAGAAAAATAAATAAACACAAAAACAACAACAATTGTTGGAACACGGAACAAATCGAAGGCCTTAATAGTTCTAAAGGCCTAAGCGTTGTTAGTGCATTTAATTGCCAAGCGATTCTAGTGAGACAGAGAGAAAGCGTTAATTGCGACTCGTACTAAAGGAGGCAGAGGGAGCAACAGTGAGAGTGAGAGAGAGAGACAGAGACAGAGGGAGATAGCCTTCAGCTGAGTCAGACAAAAGCACGCGATTGACAATACAAACGCACAGACGGAGGGACAGACAAAGAGACACACTCATGGGGCTATCCTTATCAACAGAGACTCGGCTCGCGCGTTCAACCCACTTTAACTGGGCCACAAGCAAATTTCGATTCACGCAGCAACAACAAAAAAGCCCCAAAACGAAAGTAAACAAAAGGCTGAAATTTCCCATGCTCCACATGGCCGTTTGTGTATATAATATATACATACATATATGTGCATCTCGAATATATACATACATATATGTACATATATGGCCAAAAGTGGGTCATAGCTTGGCAGTTATCGTTAATTAAACAGCTGTTTACGGCCACACGAAGTGCGTCTACCGTTAGTTAATTACAAACTGCACTTAAACAGATAATACAAACAATAGCAAAAGCATAGCATTGGCACTTAATTTATTGCTAAAATTCAAACGCAAAAAGAAGAACAACGCAAATCTGAATGTCCGGCAGTAATCACAATAAAGCGACAGCAAATCGCATATAAATATGAACAGTGGCTCACGGCTTATTTAAACGTGGTCAAAACTAAACGAGATATACCTAAATTGACATTAGTGTAATCTTATGGCATAGAATAAAAAATGTGTTCATAGCAAATACTAATTTTAGTTGATTTTTAAAAGAACTATTCACTTAATTTAGTAGTGTTAAATCTAATTATAATGATGTTATTATAAGACACACAAGGTTGATAATAGTGCAAAAACAAGTTCAGAGTTAATGAAGAACAGCTTCAATAATGTTTCCTTATCTGTGATATGTAAGTTGAAATAAGATGCGGAATTGTTTTTGTTGACTTCAACATATTTTTAAAAAATACGCTCATTTAATTATTATTTTCCTAAATTTATTAGATTAGCAACTTGCATATACATTTTCGTATATATCCGTTAGTTTATGTGCTGCATGAAATATGTTTTAGGCCACTGTATATATATGCATGCATACATTTATTACTATAAGGCCGTGTGAATTATATTACAGTGAAAGCCCTGTGGAGTGAACAACTATTGTAATTCTGAATTGTTTTGCAGTTTGGCTAAAGATACCATTTGTTTACTAATAGATAAGATAGGCATATTATTATTACTATTATTTTTATATTGTTAAATAAGACTGTTTTTGCATATTATGTTTCCAATTTTAGTCAAAGATTGCCTTAATATACAATATTAAATAAAGCATTCATATAGACTCTGACTAGTTTTTGCTTTGCAGCATAGACACGTATTTCTGGCTCTAAAGAATGCTCGTTTATCATACTTGGAATTTCGTATTATGTATTTATGTTAAAAGTAGAAAATTCTCGCAATGTACATAATCGAAATTGCCTTGGCGCATATACAATATTTCCATTTATTGGGCGCCTGCCTACCTATTTTTGGCATGATACGAAGTTCAGTGCAAATTGCTAAACAAATATTTGAGAAATTCATTTAACACTTAAGTAAATAAGCAGTGTTAAGGCTAAAGCTAAGCCGCCACGCATTGAGCTATCATCGCGAAATCGAATGATCCAAGAGTGTATTTATTTATGAATGCCCAGAAGTGAAAATAGACACGAGCGATGGTATCTGTATACCTATAAACATGCACATGCATGTAAATCAACGCCTAGTTCCTTTATCGCTGCAGCAGGCTCATAGTGCAGTAAAGAGGAAAATTTCGAAATTAGAACGAGTGCCAAAGAAAGAAAGGCCTGTCCTAGGCGAAAATAGTGTATGTACACACACTTACTATGTACGTATATAATAGTACTCTTGGGCACATATACATATGTATGTTATGTATGTATGCACGCACATACTACTGATAACAGAGTCTGACGGACGAGAACGAGCTGTGAGACAAAAGAGAAGTGAAACAATAATATCAACTAAATGGAATAATGAAATTATGAAAAATGGCAAACGCAGAATACATGGTACATGGAACACGTACAAGTATTAATTAAGGTGCTATTAATGAAGGGAATTCCCCTTTGACGGACTTCCTTGAACATCTGTAAAATGAATGGTAATTATCTTATCTGACAATTCAATTTGAGCAAGCAACAAGAAGAGCACGGAATATATCTTTAAATACCTCACTCTTAATTGTGATTGTACACATTTACTTACGTACGAATGTACACACATACATACATACATACATATGTGAATTAACATACAGACATACTGAATTATTTACTACGCATTAAAATGTAGGAAAAGAAAGCCACATGTGGGTCTATATGCGCAGCTATAAAGCGAATGTGATAAAATGGAGCGAGTGCAATACAGAAGAAACTGCAGTAAAGTGTTTGTGCGAATTATATGCTTAAGATACAGTTATTAGTCATGCATACTGAGAGTTTTAGAGGCAGACAAATCTGGCTGATGATCACATAATAATAATGTATTTATTTTAGATGTTTTTTAAGGGGAATTCGTCGAAATGCGCATAATTTACATGGATTGAATTTGTTTTTATTTTTTTTTCTTTTTGGCAGCTGCAGTGGCGGGCGACATTAAATTGAAACGGGTTTAAAGTCAACAAAATGTGTTAATAATTTATGCACACCAACACCAATACACACACAGTCAGATACTCGATCGCTTGATTATAGATTTCTTATATCAAAACAAAAAGCAGCTGTGGAACAGCAAAGTGTACGTGGAACTGGCTACAGTAAAAAGTCATAAAAAGGAAAAAAAAAAAAAAAAAAAAAAAAAAAAAAAAGAAGAGAAAAACAACAACCGATGTCGATGTCGATGACGATGTCGATGACTATGACGACAAAAGCAGCAGTTGAAGAGCAGATATAAAACACGTACTCATAGCAACAACACAATAGCCACAACAACAACTATGAAAATAACCCTATTCAAAACAAAAGATCAAGACAAATAGCGACGCAGCAGCAGCAACAGCGACTGACCATAAAAAGAAACAAATAAGAAAAAAA